TGAACAGATATAAACAACTAAACGTGCTTCAACGATTCTAAATGCTAGTTTTATTCGAGATCGTCCTCATCAAAGCTCAGAGGTAATTCCAAGATCTACAATTAGTGAGTTCAAAATGAGTATGATTTCTTCATATATATATAAGAGATCCTTCTTTGATATGCATGCACTACAGACCAAAAGCAGTGAGTTCAGTAAAACTCAGAAACCTGCGTAAATCCATTTTTGTTGATCTTTTAGTTCATTACTCCACTATCATGATCATAATTAACATGAATTGTCGTCACAAGTCATTACTCAAGGAAAGTTAGATGCCTTGAAATGTGCACCAACAACCCTGCTCTACCTAACCCTCACCAAGAAATTGGCAAGTACACCAACCATATCAAACTGTTACCTATCCACTTATTTGGAACTTCTCACCTACTACCTCTAATTAAATAACAGAATAAATCGGAAAAGGGATCCATCAGGCTTTCGGCATTCCGGAAACTTCCCCACTGCTGCCCCTCAAAGGAATCTGGGCCATGTATCAGTCCTAGTGCAGTTAATCATCCTCTAAGACCAGCTATTCATCATCCCCGTGCAAAGTGATTGTCTCACTAACTAGCTGACCACACGCGAGCCCCTTGGGTGGATTCTTCCTTTTCTTTAGCAATTGTTTCAGTTGCTGTTCCCCACCCAAATGCATTCACTTATAAATTACTTTTCTTAGTTTCTGACTAGGATGATTAAAAATCATGTAACAACTGATAATAAGTTACTTAAACTTTGGTGCAAATCCAAATACCGTACAAAAACAAAATATGTGGAGGTTGACATTGTTATTCTTGGTTTACCAGTCAAACACACCATTCTGTTACTCTTATCCAAAAGGAACTCACAAGGATAGATACCAAACCAAGTATTGTTAAAAAGTTATTTTTCAACATTTTCACAAGGAGAATCCCATACTTTAAACCAAACTAGAACAAAGTATATCGAGAGTCATTTTGAAACATACCAGCAACATTAATGTTCTCAACAATGTAAAGAACGTTATCCTCGTTGATCTCTCCTTTCTGTTGAGCATCAAGAATGTGATCAATGGCACATTTTAGAGCATTGCTGTCCATGCTCTTGGTATTGGCAAGTTTCCTGCACAAAGCAATAAAAATGTTACAAACTAATCATAACTCAAAGCACTTCATCTAGCCAGACCTTACAGCATTAGGAATTTCCAACACTTCACCATGTGGTAAAGGGGGCGTTTGGTTTCTGCAAATCCTTTCAAAAGCTCTAATTATTCTAGTCAAAATCTAGTAAGAAAATGGTCCGTAAGCTTAATTCAAGCTCAAAAGCTAGCTCAATTGCTCAAGATCATATGAAGAGTTCAATTACACCATCCAAAACCAAATGGGACTTCCAACACCCTGCACACACAGACCTACCATCTAGAGCATAGACAACACATATAGGACTCAACATTGGGTAAACAAAGAATTAGAATAGCTTGGCTCAAATACCATGATAAGAAAGTATAAGATATAGAGCCTAACTAAACCCGAAAGTTATCTCATCACCCCTCATATAGAATTGTCCTAAGTCATATAGAAGTCCAGTCACACCATCTCTCATTGATGCAGGACTGAGTAAAGTTTGGTTCTTTACATTGATCCTATATCCTAGACAATAAAAACAACACTTTGTGATGTGATCCCCACATTCAAAGATCTTTACCAACAAAACACCTACTTTATAAAAGAGACTGAGTAAAGATTGGTTCTTTACATTGATCCTATGTCCTACACATTTACATCAAGAGAATAAAACTAGGGAAAATCAATAACTGAGCATAAAGGACATAAAGTGAAGTGAACTTACTTTCTTTCATCAACAAAGTAGTCTTTGAATAGTTTCAACCTCTTCTCCTTAACCTCCTTACAAATCTTCAAGTAACCCCTCAAGAAAGGCCTCAAAATTGGGATAAAATCACCATAGTTGTACTCAAAGCTCTGAGCCAATCTACTCCTCTCACCATTCAAAGCCCTAAGCTTAACAAAAAGGGGATCATCTTCACTCTCAAATCTCCTATCAAACATAATCCTAAACATGTTATTATACATCATAAGCTGCAATCTTTTCCTCAAAACAATCCCATTTGTAGCAGATTCAGGGTTTTTCTTCACATCCTCAACTACACTGGCAGCCTCAGACTCCCACCCACCTCTATACTGCTGCACCACCTTATTAGTAAAAAAGGGTACAGTCATAATCCTCCTCATTTTCCTCCAGTGCTCACCATACACTGTAAAAACCATATCTTGACCCTTCCCTGTAAAAATATCAAAAACAACATTTCTTGTTCTTGAACCAAATTCAACCCCTTGTGTGTGTAAAACTTCTTTAGCTAATTCAGGAGATGACACAACAGCTAAGTTCCTTTGCCCCATTCTAAGCAAGAACACATCACCAAATTTTTTAGCATACTCAGTAAGGTTTCTATGGTTCAAATCATCACCAACTTGAAGCCAATTCCCAAAAATTGGAACTGGAATTGGACCTGGGGGTAGTTTAAATCGCTTGGAGCGAAGTTTAGAGATAATAATAGCGATTAAAATGGCAAAGAAAAGACCTATTAAGGTCTTCTCCAGTAAGAGAAGATCCATTTTTTTGACAATAAATGTGTGTTGTTTTTGAGCGAAGTTAAAAGAAAAGAAATGTTTTGATACTGAATGAGAAAAAACTGAGTATTTATAGAGGAGAAAGATGGGGGTTAGGTGAAGAGTTAACGGCGTTAAGTTTAACGGGTGGTAGATGGGGTTAGGTAGAGGAAAGAGAGAGGGGGTGGGGTGGGTTGGTGGAGCTCATAAAAAGACTTTTGCTAAGTGCATACATCATTTAATGTTTGATTAATTTAATTATCAAGATAAGATTGAATTTAGGAATTACCTAATTATTATATGTATAAATAAATTATAATTTGCATAAAAGGAAAATAATCTCACTAAGATTTTATATAATTAATTTATAAATTCAATGTATTATTATTTTAATTCTATTTGAGCATGATTTGAAATTGAAATTTTATTTGAATATGTAGTTTCTGATATGTCTTCTTTCAATTTCTCACTATTTTCTCAAGTTCTTGTGTTGGATTTGACACATGACACAGGTTAAATTTATCCGTTAAGATTTAATTGATCAAAGAAAATTCCTAATAATAGTTTAGATAATAAATCACCTATCTACCTATTTTTATGACAATATTTTTTATTTGTATGATATTTCAAACTCTTAAACATACATAATTTTACAAAAAAAAACTTAGGGTGTTTAAAAAATCAATACCTAAACGATTCTTTTATCATTGTCTATCTATGTCAAGCCTTCAAAAATTACGGGAGTAGGAAATAACTTGATTATTTTTAAAAACAATAAGTATTATAAATTATTTTATTTTTAATTTATTTAATAAAAACGACAAGTAAAATAAACGATAGAAAATATCTTGACCAAAACAAGGGACAAAGCTAGTACAAAATCTAATGAATTCGTCATTGACATTCAGTTTCTTTAAATTGAGTGAAAAAATTGGCCTTCTTTTGATAAGTTTATACGGAAATAAAAATATAAGTTTCACCATCCAAAATTTAAAAGATACATACTCAATTTTCAATTATTTTTAAATTGAGTGAATCAATTGAATTTCTCATTCAAGTGTATCAAAAGAGACGAATTGTCACCATCCAAAACTTAAAAAGGATTTGTCATCGACATTCAAAAAACCTTTTAATTTTGAGTGTTTTTTTAAGCTATATAATTTATGTAATATAATTTTATTGATATAAAACTTAAATTATTTATTTGATATTTATGATTCAAAATAGTTTATGATTATTTCTTGGCAATCCATCATTTCATTAAGGATTAAAATAAAATTTTAAAATTCAATTGCTTTCAATTATAGTGAATTCACATTCTTTTTTAGATAAATTAAAAATCTTTAACATCTTTCAAGTGATTGTTTTTCAACTCTAACATTATAAGTAAAATTGTGGCAAATGTGTTATACACGCACCATTTCATTGTCGTATCAGCGTCACCTCATTGCCACATCAAAAACTACTCAAATTTTGAGTTTTTTTTTAAAATTTGTTTTGTTTTTTTTATTTAAACAATTTTAGAAAGGTAAAAATAGAAAAAAATTGAGGATTAATTCAAAATTATAAAAATAAAGTCAAGCTCTAACAGATTCAAAACTAGAAAACACATTCAATTTTTAAAACACATTATCAAAATAAATAAATAATACAAATAAAATAAGTAATTTAAGATGAAAAAATTATAAATTTTTTAATTAAAAAAAGTTTCAAGTTCATCGTAATCAATAAACCCTTCCATAAGTAAGATCTTGAAGCAACAATTAGTTAGATTTTTTCATTTTTTCTTATTCATCACTTCTAAGAATAAGCTAGACTAATTTGAAATGAAGTAACAGGTACGGTGTTTCGAAGAAGAAGAAAGACGATGGCGGAGAGGGAAGCTTGAAGAAGAAGAAAGATGGGTGGCAGTGAGATTTGAAATACGAGAAAGAGGGGTGCGGGTGGGGGGTTCGAAGAACGAAAAGGGTAGGATTGTTGGTGGATAAAGGTGATGGGGTGTGAGATGGAAGATGAAACCTTATTGGTTGGAAAGAAAAAAAAATGCCTATTTATTTTTTATTTTTAATTTTCACTCACTTTTAAATTTTTTATTTACCACATTAGTTATTTGGGTGAATGTTAATTCACTTGAAATGAGATTAGGAAGTAAGTAATTATTATAAAATTAAAGTATAAAGTAAATTTAACGAAATTTTTTAAAGAATATTTGTATATTTTCTCTATTTAGATGCTTAATTATGACTTATTTTCTATTATTAAACACACGATAAAATGTTTGTATTAGTTACTTTCGATTGAAAAATATTTATCCGTATTCACAAACGTCTATTGAATACTTGAATTAATCACATGTCATTTTTAATTCTACATTGCAATCTCAATTGAAAGCAATCTTTGAATTTTTTTTAAAATATTTTTTGGTCAGAAAAGATAAATTATTTTATTAATTAAATAATAATAATTTTAGTACTAGGGGTGAAGACTTGGTCCTGCGCTTAGGAACCAGAAATATTAGCGTCTATTTTGCCTTCTCCCTTTCAAAATTTGAATCGTCGAAAATGTTTCATAAAAATATATTATCATGTGTTTAAATGCTTGATTAAAAATTTGAAACAAATTATAGTTTGAGTATTTAAATAAATTTTTACTTCCAAATTTAGAAAGTTATCGATACATTGATGGTGATTAGTCTCCACTAGAGAGCCATGGTTAGATGAATAATTATGTAATTTAACCAATGGTAATAGGAGACGTTGAGACATCAATATCGTTCTTTTATAAAGTACCACAACAATGTAATACCTAACAAGATTAGTTTATTTTAATAATGTTCAATTAAAAATTAGGTAAAGAATAAATAAGATTTAAATGCACACATTTAATTTCATAGACCTGATCAAATCGACTGTGGACCAAGAGACACCAACTACTTTAACATATTCAATGTTGCATTATATTTAAGTTAAGTGAACTCATATTATAACACATTTAATTATACGATTAAGTAGCATGTATTTACATACTAAATCGATTATTTGATGAATAATAAATAACTATAATTTGGTGTAAATACAGTAACTTCAGCCTCCCTACCCCTTCCTCAATGTAAGCAAAGAAATTAGTAGGTGATCGAAAAGTGTCGTGATAATATAAGAAATCAACTCGTAAGTAATTTTCGTCAAAATAATGCAATTGTCAGAAAGCCAAATTACCATTGTACATCATATAGGTAAAACTTATAATGAATCTAGTCTAATAAGACTTTTATGAAAAACATAAAAGAGAAGAAAATTTTCTGAACAAACAAACAACAGTCATAATTAACTGATAGTATTACAAAGTTTAGAAA